TATAACCAGTTATTTTTTAATTTGGGGCCACCTAGGAGCCAAACATTAATGCCAGAACAAGTTGGCCCAACAGTGAAAAGCACGTGGACCAGGAAGATGCCATCGAGGCTTACCATGGGGTCTGCCAGACGAACAGGTAGGTTGTACCTCTCAGTAAACTGCACCAGGAGGATGATGAAGTTAATGTGTGACAGCCTGTTCCTCAGGCTCTGTCCAGGTTCTTAGCATCAGGGTACTACGTATTATAGGAGATGCAAGAGGAGGAGCAGATGCAACTGGTCCCATGCCCTTGGGAAGCTTACTGTTAGCTTCAGCAAGACTCTAGTGACACACTTGAAGCATCTAGAACCTAGATCCACTGAAAAGTATTAGGAGAGGGGAGCTTCCCTGGGAGGTTTGACAAGAGAAAGGGGAAAGAGTAGCTGAACTGGCTTTTCTCACTGAGAGCGAAGCCTGTGCCAGCTGTTTTCTGGGGTGCCATCTTCACTCAGCCCAGCTGGTAGGTGTTAGTTACGCAATGGTGGGCACTATCCCCTATCCAGGGTCATTTAAGCAAGACAGAACCCAAACCAGTTACTACGGAGGTTGGATGGGAGAATAATCAACCAGCTGCTCCTTGGAAACCCTACATGGGGCAGTTCTACTCTGTCCTATAGGGCCACTATGAGTCGAAATTGACTCGACAGCAATGAGTTTGACCAAAATGAGAAGTCCCTGATTTTAGTTAACTAGCCACCTCTGGTACCTCTTTAAGGATGAGGTAACCAAGAGTTAAGGCAAAAGAGAGTCTGAGGGAGGCAGCAGGGCCAGGGATGTAGGATAGAACAGAGCCCCCCAAGGTGGTACAGCAGAGGGGTTGAAAATGTGGACTCTGGAGTCCATTCACTTACTATCTATGTGACCTGGGCACATTGCATAACCACTGGGCACCCCAGTCTCCTCATCTGTGAAGTGGGGACAGTCATAGCCACATACCTCGTTGGTTATTGAGAAGATGAGGTGAGCTTGAAATGAACAGTGCTTGCATGTGAAGAACACGCAGTGTCAGTTAGTATTATTATTGCCATTATTATTCTCTTTGCCTGTGGGTACCTATAAACAACAGAGCTGGCCTTCCCTCATCCCCCCTTTCCCTCTTACCTCAACTGATTGAATGCTGATTAATCAGTCACTAAGTATTTGTTCAAAATTGCTGAAAACAACAGGCATATCCATAAACTGTCAATAGGTGGCACTGTGAGCATGCCCTTGTCAGCAAGGACTTCCCAGAGTCACTGGCGACTTCAGAGCCCCCAATCCAGCCCGTCTTTCTGCAGATGAGGAAGCTGATGCCCAGAGGGTTGGGCTGCACTGTCACTCAGCTGTCCTTTCACTGAGCCAAGGTTAGACTCAGGAGGTGGGAGATGCTTCCACCCAGGGGCAGATTATCCAATAAGCAAGATAAGCATGGCTTACTTGTGCTTATGTCCTAATCTGTAATGAACAATTTCACATGGGTTTCAACTCTGATATGGTGTGCTTATTGGATAATCTTCCCCTGTTTCCACCTCACTACAGAGATCATCAGAAGATGCAGGTATCTTAGCAGGTCCCCAGGAGGAAACTAAATTTATTCCCAGAGAGGAGGTGCTTTTCCTGAAAGGAGGGAGAGAAGGAAATGAACATGAATCTCCCAGTGCTAAAACAAGAATCAGGATGTAGTCATTTTAGAGGAAGCAGAGCCAAGATGGCAGAGTAGTCAGAAGCTTCCTGTGGTCCTTCTTAAAACAAAGACCTGAAAAAACCAGTGAATCGATTATATATGACAATCTAGGAGCCCTAAACATCAAAGGCAAAGTTGAGGAATCAGATTGAGTGGCAGGGGGAC